ATTCCGCATCGCGTCCAGACGATGTCGTGTCCAAGTACCGTCTCGCCTTTGCCCGCGATACGGGGGTGGCATGGAACAAGGAGCAGACATTTAATGCAGCTCAGGGCATTCCAGTTACGGATGCGCGGTCGTACCTAAGACAGCGCCAGCTGGAGTAACAGACACGGTGCGAGCAATCAATCGCCTTCGGAGGTGTGTCGCATCTCTCCTTACGTGGCCTCTATTTTGTACCATGACCATACCCTCTCGACTCGCGCCGCGTGTAGCTTCCGCTCTTCGCCATTTCGCAACCTTTCTAAACTTTGTATGCAGCGTGCGGATTTGTATCCTTGTTTGCGAGTCATTTATAATACTTTGGTTCCGAATGACTTGAAGCACGTCGACTCCTTGACTACTAAGTGTGCACTTCCGCCGATTCACTCGCACTGCTTTCAGACTTTGCGCTTTTCCTACTTACCCATGCCTGATGCAAGCCGCATGTACTCAAGTGACTGTATACGTTGGTCGAAAGTCTTGAGTCCCCCTCCACATGGAACAGAACACGTGATCATCTACTGTACCCGCCACTCTTCGCGGCATTATTGGACGGTTTAAGCATGCATGCTCAAGGCATGCCGCGATGCTTCATAAATTGCACGGGCAGGGGGCTCCAATCCGCGCAGCTTTCGACTGTGACCAATCACGAATGTGGCAAGAATGTCAGACGATGCATTAACCACAAAGTTGAAGATCGAAAAGGATGGTAATGCTCGACGGACTCCGGAAGCCGTTCTTGATGGTCACGGCGGCAGTGACGGGGTGGTGGGCACTGTCGACGCAAGCGAGGCAACAGGTGCTCTTGCTGACTGAATCTGCTGATAAGGTTGCAATTTTCCTGGGGACTGAATGGCAAAGTCTTGGACCCTTCCCAGCGTGCGTTGATGCTTTTCAGACGTAATCTTCAAACAAGGAGCTACCGATGCTGAAACTCAGGTTACACCCTGTCTGATTTGGCGGGATCGCTCTTCTGATGGCGCTGGGCATGCAGAG